GTTACTGTGAGTGAATGGTTCAGTTAAGGTTTTTGGGGTCTGGAACAAGGAGTTTCTGCAGTACACATGAGTTTAATCAACATTTTAGGGAACCACTGAGTCCTGAGCCCTTCTCAAAAGAGACGCCACTCTCTCCGAAGCAGCTCCGTTTTTTATCAGCCTGATGTGTTTCTCATTAGCCTGCTTGTCTCTGTGGTTTGCTTTGGGATGCACAGGTCCAGCTTAGTACACGAGAGTTTCAATTATTTGGCTTTACTTTGCCACGAATGTATATGGAAAGCAGACGCTGCCACAAGTTGTCGGTTGGCACTGCCAAGACAAGAAAGCAAGAGAGAGAGTCAGAGAGGCAAGCAGAGACGGAGGGTGTCCACATGACTTGAAGCATTTCATTTAAATCAAGGAAATACGTCTGGATTTTAGGGAGACAAAGAACATGGCGTCATTTAAAGTGAAAACACATTTTTGCTCTCCCCCTTTGCCTTTGGGGTGGTGGAGGCTTTGGCAGCTTCGACAGTAACAATAACCTCTCTCAGCATTGATGCTGCGAGTCCACGCGCCAGCCCGCCTGTCCACTGTTTTCCCAGAGTAGGCCTCCCTGGGTTCATCCACACACTTGGCAGACACTGTGCCAGCGCATCTGACCAGGAGAGGAATGTGTCGGACCCGGACCTGGTTAACTTCTTCACCCACACACTGTTGTACTGGTCACACAGTGTCTGACATTGAAACTCTTGAGCTTCTCAAACACAATGTGCACAGGCGTTTGTCTGTTCCGCAGGCATCCCTCTCTGTCTTTGGGCCCCTTTATGGAAATGTTTGGCAGCAAGGCCTCCGCTTTGTTGTGTGTGTGTGTGTGTGTGTGTGTTTGTGTGTGTGTGTGTGTGTGTGCGCGCATGTCGTCCATAAGCACAGAGGCCAGCTGTAAAGCAAAGTCAAGTGGCACAGTCCTACTTTCAGCACCCAAATAGCGGATGGAGGGGATAGAGACTTGAATTCTGCTCATTCCTGTCAGCTGCAGCGTGTGGGAGGTTGAGAGCAGAAGAAAGGCTATGCTCCAGTCAGCTTTGGGACCTATTAGCATTTGGATAAGCTCAGAAAGCTCCCAGTGGCCACGCCACACAGAGAGTGCTTGGGCCTAAGCGCCTGCTCTGCTGCTGCTATAAGCCGGGTCCTGTCAATGGACCCTTTGTGCAGGGACGGCTGCCGGGCTGCCCGACGGCCTTTATCTCACTCGCCCTCGGTCTGCTTGAAAGTAGCACGGCAGTTTTCCTTGGCGCTCCAACCCGAGCATCCATCTTGTCATTTGGCAACTGATTGCTGATAAGAATGGCTTTGTTCATTTTGCCTGTATCGTCTGTTCACTGTGAAAATGACTAAGTCAAGTGATTTGTGTCAATAGCTTAATGCCAGCAACTCGTCATGCAAAGGATGTCATTTGAAGTGGTTAAACCTCATTGACAAACGGCTGCTGTCATTTAATGGGCACTGTTTGTTCTGTAACAACGCATGTTAAAGAGCGCTCTAATGGAGTGTCATCTGTCAGTTCATCTGTAATTTAGTCATTCTGTTTCCTCCTTCTTTTTTTCTTTTTTATAATTCTTCTGGTCAATCATCTCTTGATGTTTGAGGCCCTCTAATATTGACCGATGATTTTACAGGGCCAGTGTTTAAGTGTGAGCTCCACTTTGTGTCTGATCAGCCTCTCCTGCAGACTTCTTTCCATCTGTCTGGGTGTGACTCGGTGACGGATGTGCTTAATTTGTTCTTCTCACCGACTCCCGGTTGTCTTTGGAGGATGCAGCTGTTTGTGCTACTGCTTGTTCAACAACAGCAGGCCAGAGCAAACACCCGGGTCAGCAAATTATGTGCAATTGAAGCTAGCTTCTTGGATGGCATCATGTTTGGAAATGTACATAAAGGATTTATTTGTATGCCGTGTTGGATTTCTTAAAGGAAAATGACGGTTATATTAAAGCAAGATGGATAAGTTCTTGAACTATTAAGATTAAAACAAATGTATTTAATAAAGAATCTGACTCAGCCAAAAGTGTCTGAGATCCCTGCAACTAGATAAGATTAGGTTTGAGTTGAGTTTTTATTGTCCTTATTCAGTTCTGGCACAGTAACCAAACCATTGAGTCATTTTCAATGTTCTATAAAAAGACTCAAAACTCTTTGGAGGGTGCTCTCTATATAGCAAGAAGAAGTGCCGTGTGTGTGTGTGTGTGTGTGTGTGTGTGTGTGTGTGTGTGTGTGTGTGTGTGTGTGTGTGTGTGTGTGTGTGTGTGTGTGTGTGGCCTCCTGCAGGACTGGTTTGTCCTTGTGCGTCACTCTGCCCCGACAGGTTCCTCCTCTCTGTCTGCCTCTCACTCCAGGCTATTTGCCTTCACCAGCTCTCCAACAGTGTTTTTCCCTCATAAAACATTGAGCAACATAACTCGCAACACTCCGCCTCATCCTATTCCTCTCTCCCCTGCTGCCAGTCGTCTACCATTTTCCCTCCGTTTCAGATAATGAGGCACAGTTTAGGACCTTGATGAGCTTGTGTTAAATAGGCTCTTTCCTGGAGGAGCGATGTAGAGAGGCAGGAACAAGAGCTTGGACAGCAGCCATTTTGCAAAGCGGTGTAAATTGATGCACCCAGGGAGTTAAAATGGCAAGCGCGTAAAGAACTGGCTTTTGATGCGACACTTTATGCATACAAAATGTTTGTACTTGGCTTGCCCTTTTTATCTTTTATTAGATGCACTGTAAATGGGGGGGGACACACATTATAGAGCAAAGTCATGGTGAGGAGGCGGCCTGGGCACATGCAGTGCATGCTCTACCTGGGCTTACCTTATCCAGATGTTTTTATTAAGAAGCATACATATTGCTTCTTTTATATTTACCAGCATCAATTTACATATTAGCTCACTGTCTGCAAACCAGTGCAGACTAGTATACTATACAAATGAACCTGCTTCCTCAAAACAGACAATATCTTCCCAGACAAAAACAAAAGGAATCCAGCAAAGCTGTTGGACAAAGTTTCACTGAAGGAGGTCTCCCTCTTTTCCCAGTATAAATGAAACATATTATTGCCATTATACATGAGGCTATTCAGTTTCTGTTTTTTGTGCTGCAATATAAACTACCTAGTCAATGAAAATTGATTTTCATTACTAATAATCAGTCTTAATTGAAAATGAACACCCTTTAACCTCTTACGTCATAGCTAGTGCAAAACGTATACAAAACAACAGAGCAACAGATCAGTATGGTGGCCGACCTACAGCCGGAAACATCAGGAGAAACGCGCTGCACTTTCAAAAACGATGAAAATATAAAAACAAAAATTTGCCCAAATATATGCTAATAAGGATCATCTTCACCAATTTGAAAAACACACACAGCATTTAAACATGGTGCCTATTTGCCAATACGGATATTTAGCAGATACATGGATGCATCCTTAATTGTAATCACCATCAAATGCACATTTCTGTATCAATTGTTGCTTTAAATACGTTTGACCTGTAAGCCACCTAAACCAGTCCTTCACCGCCACCTATCGTCAGTAATAGTCAAAAATGAGATGAATTGACAAAAGCTTTGGTTATAGGAACTACTCTAGGACGTAAAACAAAAACACCAACTTCCTGTGTAGACTACCCCCTGCATTCTCACTTCCTGTTCTATCTTTAGCAACGTGTTTTAAACTGCTGTTTTATACATAGTGTCTCACACAAATGATATATGCATTTATCCATGCATGTTGCCCTTGTTGGAGGATACGCCGCCTGACTCAGATACATTTTTTTAGCATCAGACTGAATTACTGCGAATATTATCCATCTTCAGAAAGAGCGCTGAAAGGAAAAACTCCCCAAACACTGTGGCTAATTCCAAATGATCTTTCATCTCCAAATGTATCATCAACGCAAAGGTGCCCGAACCAAATATAGCTCCCGCTGAATGTATGATTTGGGAGCAGAGTACTTTAGCATGTGGGATTGTTTGGACAGCCATATTGCCAGGGGAGCAGGCTCTGGGCCTGTATTTTAAAGCATTGACATACAAAACATTGATTCTTTGCTTAGCAGTTCTTTAGAGCTCACACACTAGAGAAAGGCAACAATGTCACCAGGATTACATTTCTTTCTTAAAATGACTTCAGTATTTCAGTAAATTCAGTGATTATTTGATTAAATATTCCCTTTTTATGAATCATAACCATGTGACATTTATGCAATATTTTCCATTTGGAAAGGTTACTTTTACTCAGTTTTCTTTAAGAAAAAATGCTTTTGAATTATTAAAGAAATGCAATAGGCACAATGCTATATAGTGCATTACAATGGTGCACACATAGAGTGGTGCAGTGATGACGTATTTATGTATCCCACCCCGGGATTTAGCATCACAAAAAGCAATGGGATTTCTTCATTAGATTTTTGCAGAAAATAAACTTTGTGGCCAACACATTTATGTTTACGTTTATGATACCGAATATGTTTTGTTCAGCAGGATAATCTCCAAACATGAAGTGCGCTTTGTGATTCTTCAGAGCTTAAATGCAATTAGCAGAAAGACAAGGCTAACTTAATGCTATAGACCAACTAAATCACAGTCGTGTGACTACGCATCATCACCGCTGAGCTAGAGGAGGACTTGTGTCGGCGAGATATAGTCGCTTGTTAGCAACTGCCGTTTTATGACACATAGATGCTTAGGACATTTATCAGTGGGGTATTTACTGATATCGAAGAACACAACATGAGCATCTCTTCAGCTTTTGGTAACCACAAACCTTACTTCCGGCTTTTAACCAAAAACACAATAAAAAAAAACATTGTCTTCTGGACGGGAGAACTGAAAGTGGTAAAATGTATTTCCCGGGTTTTTAGAACATATTACTGCACCACTCTGCAAGTATTCTGTAAGCAGTGCCAATGAACATGTACAGTGACCCACAGCCATAAAGCTTCTGGGTTCCTGTGTTTCTCCTGACGGTTTCTGTTTTCTCCACAGGCACTTGGATGCTTGTTGTACAAGCTGTGTTTCTTCTCACTTCCATTTGGGGAGAGTCAAGTTGCCATTTGTGACGGAACCTTTGTCGTTCCAGATGACTCCAAATACTCGTTCAAGTTGCCCTGTCTAATCAGTAAGTTTGTGACTTTAAATTAAGTCAGAAAGTGTATTATAATGATTTTGGAGTAGGAAATCACGCACTCAGAATCATTTACTATTTCTATTGAGCTATAAACTCTTTAGGCTTTTCTGTGTCAAATGATAGTTACTTGTGCAATTACTCAGAAGGTAGCACAGAAGTTGATGTAGAGTATATTTTGTATTGCTCTTTAATGTTGAATAATTTTTGTATAAGTTAGTTGTCTGTTACTGACTTTAGGTTTGTTTTAATGCATTTACATGGCATGTTTTAACTGCTTTAAGTACTTTGCTTTCAAGTTATCCACCTCCCTAAATGCATTCTGCCGTGGATCTTCCTTTTAAATAAATTGACCAACAGCTCCACCAAGTGGCCAAAGCAAGAAGTTGCAGATCAAGCACATTAATCATGTTCACTGATATAAAACAATATCTTCGTCTTTCCCAGGGTATATGCTTGAAACTGACCCGGAGAAGAGACCAGACATTTACCAAGTGTCCTACTTTGCCTTCAAATTAGCTGGGAAAGAGTGTCCAGTGCCAAATCTCTTTGTAAGTAACCACATTGAAGCGTCTGTGTGGCCATAGCGTCTGCATATATGACCAAGGCACACGAGGGGATAGGTTTCCCCCGTTCTTCCAGACTCTCCCATCCCTACATCGCTCCAGAGCCCTAACTGTCGAGTGTGGGCGCTGCTAGAAGGAAGCATAACGAAGCCAGGTACTGATAACTCCATGTTTTTTACTTGTTTAGTTAAGTTATTTATTTATAGTTTCGTGGACAGTCCCATCGATGAACTGTCACAAAAACATTAAATGTGCCAGCTTCGACATGGGCCTATTTCCGAAAAAAAAAAAAAAACCAGGCTGTTGTCCCCGGCCAGATGGTAATAGACACTTAAATTACAAATGATCATTGTGATATACAATGATGGATAAATACAACATTAAAGAAAATTATTTTAAGGCTGATAGTTACATTTTTTTATTAAGAATGGAGTGAGCTCAGATTGACGGCACTGAGCAAAGTTGCTTTTTTTTAAAATATCACTTCTTCGTGACTCCTTTGCTCCCCAAGATAACAGGAAAATCCGCTGGCCCGCACCGAAACCATCAGCTCCAGACAGCAGGCCAAGCAGGCAAACAGTAACGTCCTGCCCGCTCGCACAACACTGCACCACTGTAAAGATGACCGTGCACCCTCAACACCCGTCAAGCAACGCCCAGCACAACAAGGTTCGACAACATCCGGTGAGATTCCTATGTAACCCATACCAGAGAGTTTCTATTTCTCTTCTAAATCAGAATGCTATCCTTACTATCACCTTATACTCGCATCATACTAAAACCTTTTATCACCGTGAAGACAACAAGTTTGGTAAATGAGAAGAGTACCATTCAAGTATAGGCCTCAGATCCGCCTACTCCTCTGAGCGGATCTTTAAAGGGAGTCCATTAATGATGACAGGAGGCCACAGAACCTCTGTGTGGGACAGAAAGGGTGTTCACCATAGCTTATATATTACTTTTATAATCACAGTGTGCATCAATGAGACAAATAACAGGCTACGATGTGGACATACACACACAAATAAAGGTATGAGGGAGATAGATAGATAATTATATATATATATATTATATATATATATATATAATATATATATAATATATAGATAATATTATATATATATATATATAGTATAATAATACTAGTAGAAGATATATAGTAATATATAATTATATATAATATATTAATATTAATATACAGTGGCAAAAAAAGTACTTTAAGTCAGCCACCAATTGTGCAAG